ATTGAAACACTTCTTTGTAACTTATCCATTCACAATAGAATAAAATTAGATATCAAAAGCAAGACAAACCACTGAAACTATGCAAATACTCGACAATATACTCTTTAGCAACCAAGGGAGCCACTGAAGAATCAAGAAGAGGGGGCTGAAGAGATGGCTCAGTGGGTAAGAGCACTGGCTGTTCTTGCCGAAGACTTGGGTTCAATTCCCAGCACCCACATGGTGGCTAACAACCACCTGTAACTCCAGTTTCAGGGGATCTGATACCCTCTTCTGACCTCTGTGGGCTCTGCATGACAGGGGTGCACCCACCTACATGTAGGCATTACACTCATAGACATAATTTTTTTGAAAAAAATAATCAAGAAGAATAATTTAAAATGCATAGAGTCAGATGAAAATGAAAGCAAAACTTGTCAGAACCTTTGGAATACAAGAAAAATAATTCTATGAGAAAAATTAATTATGAGTGTCTACATTATAAAAAAAGAGGACTCTCAAGTAACTTAATGATGTACTTTAAGTTCTTAGAAAAATAAAAACAAGCCAAACTCCAAATCAGAGATAAAAATTGTAAATATCAATGCAGAAATAAATGAAATTGAAATTAAAAGCACTATGCAGAGACTACATGAAACAAAAAGTTACTTATCTTAAAAAATAAGTAAGCTATTTCAGACACAGGATTGGGAGCAATGGAGCTCCCCTGAGGGCTAGCTCTCATAGCTTTGGAAAGTACTATGCAAACTGGTAAGGGAGAAGATCAATTGATGGTCCAACTCCAGCTTTGAGGCCTAATAACCACATCAATGATTGGCACAGCAAAGGACACTGGGCAGTAGTGGCACTTTTATCTTGGGGGTAATCAACAGTTACCTAATTGGACTTCAAGCCCACTCAGTGGGAGGGAACTCATGTGTGGCACTGTAAATATAGTCAAACACATATGGCTGGGGAGGTCTTAGATCTTTGAGAAAACCCCAAAGCTGTCACATCCCTAAACAAATGTAATTTTTTACTATGTGCAAAATATGGATCTTTATGTTTACAGACAAGTATCCCAGTCACCATTCATCAAAGAAGTTTCTTTTACAACAGGCAGAGATTATTACAGAGTTCTACAACTGGTCATACACAGAGATTGTCTGTGAATTGACTTCTGTGTCACTTAGACTTTTAAGTGACACATCTGCAATGGAACCTCTACACCAAAGGCTCATGGAACATAGTGGAACAATGGGTAAAGAGAACACTAATGCATCTCTCAGCTCTCATCAATGAAACCCCCTCATGCAACAGAGGGCCAGGAACACAAAAGGTCATGAATTGCCAAAGCATAGAGAATAAGAATCTATAGAGTGTGGGTCCTTGGACAGGACTCCTATATTAAATTCCACCCACCCAGGGCTCAGGGACAATTGTGGAGGGGATGTAAAGATTGTAAGAGCCAGGGAGGATGTGCATGACCATATAGAAAGAGAGTCCTACAGGTTCCTGGGATCCTGCTCATATGAACCCTCAGAAATGGTGACAGCATGTATAAGACCCATGCAAACTCAAGCAGACAAAATCCCAGCACAGAACTTTGGAAATGGGCAGTAGGCCCCAATCTTAGCCAAAGAACTATTGGCAGCTTATTACTGCTGGGTGAGGAAGAGCTGATCTTCTTAAAGGTAGGGACTCTAGAGAGGCCGACTAGAACTCAGTGGATGAACTTGCACTTAGGGATGTCTGGGGACACTAATTTGACTCAATAGGCCTTGACACAAATGACAGAATGCATGAATTCAAGTGGCAGGGGGGCCTATGAGAGGGTGCCAATGGGGAAGGGGGTAAAAAGATGATTATGATGTTCTGTAAAAATGCACAAAAATAATTTTAAAATTTTAAAAATAAAAATAAACAAGATCAACAAAACAAGTTAATGGAAAAAGAAAGATGAAAAAGACCAAAATTAATAAAATTAGACATGAAAGGGGAAGCACTAAAACAGGTAACAATAAAATCCAATTAATATAAGGAAATACTTTGAAAATTATATTCCAAAAAAATGGAAAATCAAGAATAAAATGATAAATTCCTCAACACATATGGTCTATCAAATAAAAATAAGGTGATATAAAACCTAGTTAACAGAAGTGAAGGATTAATAGAGTTTCTCATCTAAAAGAAACCTAGGATCAGACAAACTCACTGCGAAATTGTACCAAACCTTTAGAAAAGTGTTAACGCTAATGTTTATCAAACTGTTTCATTAAATAGAAAGGGAAGAAACACTTTCAAACTAATTTTACAGTCAGTGTTATCCTGATACCAAAACTAGATAAGGAAATAAGAAAAAAACTGTAAGTCAATTTCCCTGATGAATTTAGATCCAAAAACTCTCAATAAAATACTTGCAAATTTCAAGAACACATTAAGAAGATGACAATGGCCAAAACTGATTTCATTCCAGGAATGTCAGGATCATTCAACATATGTTTATTAATAACTATAACACAGCACAAGAATAGACTTAATAGATAATACAAGTTAATATGTTATAATATAAGTTAATTATAATCTCTGATAACTACTACTAACAAAAATTATATTCACAAAAGGAACAAGGAAGGAAATAACATGGTACACTACCAATGGGGGGAAAAAATCAAACACAAAAGAAGGTAGTAATAAAGGAACTAAGTATATAACAATAGAAAACTAGCAGAAGTTCGTCCTCATCAGTAATTAACTTAAATATGGATGAATTAAATTCACCAAATAAATGATACAAATTGTCAGAATGAACTTTAGAAACACATATGCCAACTCTGTATCTCCTAGAGGCTCTACTTAGTCCAAAAATACAAATAGATTGAAAGTGAAATATGCAAAAAGACTTCTCACGCAAATAGTGGCCAAAAAGAGCTTGGTTAGTATCTTAATATCAGACAAGATAAAATAAACTCTAATCATAAACTGTTACAATAGACAAAGAAGTGTATTATATACTGAGAAAAGGGTCAACTAAAAATATTTTTAGAGTTATTACAAATATATTTGTACCAAACAGTAGAACTCCAAAAACATTAAATAAACCAACAGATTTGAAGAAAGAGATAGGTCTATAAATGCAGTTGGAGATTTCAATTCCTCAATAATGGATCGATGGTCACAGATAGATGATATGGCTAGATAGATGGCATAGATGCTCGACTATGAACAAATAAAGGACATCATTATAAACCAAACAGACCTCACATATGAAGAACATTCCACTCACCAATATACATTCTTCTCACGTTTTCTAGACTACCTAGTATATTAGATTACAAAATATGTCTCTATGTTTTAAAAGACCAAATCATACAAAGACTCTTCTCTGAACACAGTAAAGCTAGGGATAAAAACTGGGAAACTCATGAATATTTAGAAATTAAATAGCAAAGTTCTAAACATCATGTCAAATAGAAACTCAAAGGAAATGGGAAAATACTTTGAGGTGGATTAAAATGAAACCCAGCACATCACAAGCCTATGAGACACAGTAAGAGCAACAGAGGACAAGATGCGTGGGTAATACACATCTACACCACCAAAAACTAAAAGTACCTCAAATCAGGGGCTAGAGAGATGACTCAGTGGTTAAGAGCACTGACTGCTCTTGCAGAGAACCCAGGTTTGATTCCCAGCAACCACATGGCAGCTAACAACCATTTATAACTCCAGTTCCAGAGGACTCATCGCCTTCTTCTGACTTCCATGGGCATCACACGACAGAGGTGCACTCTTACACACATTCAGGAAATGAACTCATACACATAAAATAAAAGTTATTAAAAACAAAATGGAAAAACATATGTAAGAAGGATGCCTTTTTGAAGCTGCAAACTATAAAACAGTTTATCACCTATCTTACTGTAAAAATGGTGTCTATTTCTTCCACATGGTTTAAAATAAGACAGATTGCTCATAAATTTACATCCAACCCTTTCTAAGCTCCGACTTTGTACTTTTTCATAAATGATTTTATGTCAATGTCCCTGGGGTCCCTCTCTGTTACTGGATATGAAGCCAAGTGTCCCCATTCTCTACAGCTTGATCACAAATATTTCCATATTTGCATAAATATTTTAAGTCCCTTTTCTAATTGTTGAATGCAATCTAACTTTTAGTGTTAGAAAACCTGACATCTCAGTATTATTGAGGTTTATTTCAGGCTGCAGCAAATCTTAAAGCCTGTCAGTAAGTCTGAGCACCACTACCACATGCAAATTCCACTTGTCAAACATTTCTTCTAAAATGTTTCCCACACTTAATTCTCTTCTTTTCTGGAACTCTGGTTTGGCCTTCTCCCTTTAACACTTTTTTGCTCTAAACCACTGGTTAGCATGCTTTTTAGACTCCATTCTCACTGAACGTTCTCACTCATTGGCCTTCAGCCACAGATCACGTCTAATTCAGTAAGAAAATACCTAACACTAACACACTACACTGCAACTATCTTTGTGATAAGACAAAATCAGAATCCAACTGCAGTCAGAATTTAATTTGATGGCAACAGTAGGGAACCCTCGGGTGTTTTGTCCTCCTGTTTGGAGGAGGGAGATTGGCTAGAGGACTGGGACCTGAGAAAGAGCAGTTCATATGCTGCTGAACCTGTGAGAAAAAGAGGGAAGAGGTACATACGATTCTAGGGCTCAATGATGAGCCCCATGATCTCATTGCTAGGCAGTGGTGGAGAGTCCTGGTGGTTTGCTTGTGGCATTCACCTCTTCTCAGGAGAAGTTGCTCCCGACTCTTATTCACTCTGCAGTTAGGCCACCCACAGTCCTCCTCCTGAGAGTAGTTGTTGCCAAGTAAGCATCCAGCCATCTGCCCACCAACCCACCCAAGCCTGCAGGAGGTAGAACAAAGCATTTCAGAATCCTGCCCTACTGGAAGGTTGCCTAGACAATCAAGCCCAGGTCCCACACACAGCGCCTGGCAACCAAGGCCAGTCAGGGGCACCACAGAAGATGGATGAGCCTCTGGAAGAGGCTCCAGCAGGATCCTTGAAAAATGAAAACACAGTCCAACCCTTAACTGCTGACCACTTTAATAACAGTGAAGACTCTCAGAAGACTCAGGTTGAAGAGGAAGCAACTGACCAATCTGCCCGAAGAGTACCGGGCCAGGCTTCTCACAAAGTTTCTGAACACGCTGGGGTCGGGTCATCTGAGCAGATTGACGACAAGGTATCCAGTCAAGCTGAGAGAAGAGCTTCCCAGCAGGCTGACCGCAGATCATCTGGCCCAGCTGAGAGAAGAGCTTTCCAGCAGGCGGACCAAAGAACATCTGGTCAAGCAGAGAGAAGGATTTCTGAGCCAACTGGTCAACAATTTCCCAGCCTACCTGAGAGAAAAGCCCCTGAACAGTTATATGACAGAGTATCTGTATCATCTGATGGAAAAGCCTCAGAGTGGACTGGCCTGTCTGATCAAAGAACTTCAGAAGAGATTGAAATTTCAGAGAAAACTGACCAGGTTTGGTTGGATCAAGACGACCACAGAACAGTAAAGAGTCAGAGCCAACCCGATTACCGTGATGGCAGTGATGAATATTATTACCAGGCTGTCAGCTCCACCAAAAGACAGACTGACTACCGATCATACTACAAAACAATTGCCCAGACTGAGAACCGAGTGTTACCTGAGTTTAGTGAAAGCATTGAGGACAAAGAAGCTAATAAAATACAGCCCTTCAAATTTGAAGATAGCCAAACAGACCTCAAATCCAGGCTTTCATCTATAGTAGAAACTGAAAGTACAACCACTAACCAAGCCTATAACCCACCTGATACCGGATTTACCAGTGATTCACCATCTTCTTGTGAAAAACTGCCCTCCATCACAACCAAAGTGTACTATACCTCCAGTCAGGAAAAAGTTCAAGCCACAGAAACCAGTACTGTATGTGAAAGGGACATTTGATACCTACTTGGGGGTTGGGGGAATGGATGCCAAGACCGGACCTGTGGGGTTGCGAGTAAGGGCATGTTGCAGAAAGGTGCATGTTGATCGAGGATGAGGAATAAATGAATGCATTGCCTTATATGTAACCCATATGTTTCAGGAAAGGTGTGACATAAAAAGGATGCATTATCTCCTAATTACCCTAAAGTCATTCAAGAAGGATCTGTGAACCAAAATTTAGTAAGGCGATGTTTCAGATTCTAATAGTAATTCTGTGACTCTAGGTCATTTCCCACTCTGGGTTTCTACCAAGAGAAGGGAATTTGGAGATGATTAGGAAACCCTGTGAAGGAGAGAACATTTGAAGGAGACTGGCCATACCTAAGGTACTCCCAATTTTTGAGGGGCTTTATATTATTTGAGGAATGAGTTGATCTCTCACACACACACACACACAAAATGTATCTTTTGAGCCAGAGGCCCATTAGGCCCTACCTCTCCCTTAGGATCTATAGGTAATTAATGGTTGCTGAGAGAGGGGGAGATGTTTTCTTCAGTAGGATAGCTACTAGAAGATTGCATATGTAAATAACCCTGGTTAAACTCATCAGTCACCAAGAAAATAAGGCATGAAAGTAAAAGGGGGAACGAGTTGAAGAGGAAGTGCATCAGCGGGAATGGGAATGGATATGATCAGAATACATCATGTGCCTGTATGAAATGGGTATGATCAGACTATATCATGGACTTGTATGAAAAAGTCATAAGGAAGCCCATTATTAGGTATAATTAGTATATCATAAAAATATTTAACTCCTTGGGGCTTGAACAATGGCTCAGTGGTTAAGAACACTGGTTGTTCTTGCAAAAGACCCAGGTTTGAATCCCAGCACCCACATAACAGCAAACAACCATCTGAAGCTCCAGTTCCAGGGGATCCAACAGCCCCTTCTGTCCTCTGTGGGCATTGCACAACATGGGTGCACTTACTGACACACAGGCAATACACACATACACAAAAAATAAAAATAATAAATAAAATATTTTATAAAAGAATTTAACTTCTAATATTTGGGGCACATTGAATCTAGATTCTGCTAATAACAGCAAAAAAATGCTAAAGCTTTTAGATTTATTAAAAACCCTTTTGGTGGGTATTTCAATTTCAGGATAATCTTTCAGAATTTGAACAAAGAAAGTATTCTCATAGATCCAGTCAAAGTTACAAGAGGAGGTTCCCTCCGATTGTTTATGAAGATCCTTACCAAGTTTCACTCCGATACATGGAGAAGCACAACATTCTGCATATATTCCAGGTAAGCCTCTCAATCCTTCCCTTTAGTTGTGCGTTTTACAAGTGGTAAAAAGGGAGGAGGGAAATCTAAGTGAGAGATCAATGAGTGCATTAAGATGTGTATACCAGAAAGAGTAGACGAAAACCCACAAGTGAACAATATGACATGAAGGCCTTCAAAGGCAATGGAGACCAAGTGGGATGGGATGTTAAGGGGAAACTAAGCCAGTAATGAACATTACCTTTTCGTGAGAAAAGACAAAACATTGACAATCGACAAGGAAAGAAAAGGGTTTTCCAGACAGGAGTTTAGCACTTCAAAAGAAGATGGTTCTCATGACCATCTGAGACCAATATTCTCTGGAAGGAAAGGAGTAAAATTAAAAATACTTTCTAGTTCCTGAAATCAGAAATCTCATGATCTCAGGGAGCAGTGTTGGTATTTCCTTTAAAGTGTACTGTTTATTGGACAATACAGAACTACATGCAACTATCACAGCTATAACTTGAGTGGAGACAGGAGGTATTTGTTGGGTTGCTGTTGCTTGCCACATACATTTCTTTTTAATATTACCATTATTTGGCCAAAAATGCATATCTACATTTATAATAATATGTACATAAAGAAAATGTGATTAGAAAGGTATAACATTAGAATAGTTCACCTCAGATGATAACATCCAAACCAGAAAACTTTAGAGTAGGGTATGGAGGAAAGAGCACAAAAATAGGACAAGTCAGCCCACTGCTCAGATTAAAACATTGACATCTATTTTTTAATTTTTTATTTAATAACCACATGAATACAAGAAGCATTTCATTACAGCTTTAACATATTCAGTAATAATTACCAGCACAAGGATACATCTATTTCAAAAGTGACTAAATTTTTAGGTTCACAGTTGAATTAATACAGTTATACAATATTGAACTCAGTATAAACCCTGTAAGACATAAAATTGAGTTTATACCGTTTAAAGAAGATCTCCATTTCATTTTAAAATATGCTGATTCCTACATTTTTAATGCTAACGCTTAGATGTTTACACATGTGAATTTAATCTCTATGTATCTGATTATTACTAGTCACAGTCAGTTACACTCAGATCCTTGGCACCAGAGTATGGATGTAAAGTCATCAGGTAGATTTCACTGGTAATGTTTATCACTTCTACAAATTAACATCAAGTAAATTTTTATACTTTCTCCTCAAATATAAGTCTCCCTTAGTTTGTTGATTTTTTTTGTATGCCGTACAGAACATCCCATACAATCTTATTCATCAATATACCCACTTCCCAGATGGCACCCTCCCATAGCACCCCCCACCACTGGAGCCCATATACTTTATCATCCCTGCTACTGTTGACCATGTTCTCAGCACCTCCAGCTGTTCCCCAATGCTTGTCCCTCTGCTGAATCTTGTTTTAGGAAGATCAGCCGTTCCTCATCTAGCAGCAATCAGTTGTCAGTATTCCTTTAGATAAGATTGGGCTCTACTGTTCATTTTCCCAGTTCTATGCTGGGTTACTGTCTAGGGGTCTTTTGGGCCACCAGGTATCTCCTGTCTGGCATTGTTCTTCCTTGTTATATAGTTTTAGCTATAAATACGGACTCTTAAAAATTTATATTGACCCCATTAATCTTTCATTATACTTTCCTTTTGAGTGTTTAAGACCCTACAATTGGCCCAGATAAACCAATTTATTTTTACTCCTAAGGCCGTTTGAGGCTCTGTTCTTCAGGGGTCACATCGGCTTGGGAGGAGCCCCTGGCTCCTTTCTTTTACCAGTTCTGTCTATGTGAAGATAAGCCAAAAGTCCTGCTCGACCATGGCTGGCTTTGCTTGGAAGCATGGAGTAAATGTTTCCTCTGTGTTGACCCTCCTCTTTGTAGACTAGACACTGGTTCAAGTCCATCTGGTGGGGTCTCCACG